AGGCATTTATCACCTGTTATCTGTGACTGGATTTGTGATCTAGGCCTACTTGTTACCGGACCGTGATGTATTTGTGATCTATCACGAGTACGTCGACTAAATTTTTTGAAATTGGTTTAATTTCGCAAAGCCTACCTGTGAAACTAGCCGCGCCATTGAAAGTGGCAATCAACCATCCAATCATCCACGTCTCGGCTGTGAATTGCTCCTTGAGCGTCGGCAACATCATCCCTAAACCTTTGAGGAGCCCCGCCCACAACAACCAGTCGACGTGCAAACGCAAACCGAGGACAGCGTGCCAGCACCGGTAACTGCAGCGCTCGGCGTCGCCCATAACGAAATGCGATATACATATGTACATGTATAAGGTTTGTAAAGTGTATAATATGGGCATACATCGTGTACGTGTAGCCTATACAAAACTAGCAATGGGCAACCGACCGTGGAACAACATGGCCTGAAAATTGAAAGTGCTCACCCTAGCATGATCCTAGCAAAGATCGAAATTGAACAACTATAGAAAAGTGTTTGTCCGGTGGGGAAATGCAGAGGCGTAGCATTCAAGGTCATATCTTGTTTTCTCTTCTTTTTTTTGGGGGGGGGGGAGGGAAGGGGGGGTTAAAAAATTTCGTAAAAAAGGGCACTCGTACATCCGTGCTGAAATGTAGACAGTTTTTTCTCCGGATACTTGGCCTCCGTAAATTAAAGGGGGGGGGGTAACCTCGTCCCTAGTGCTTACATTATTTCCAACCGCGTTTACAGGTTGTGATGGGCGCGTACTGTTCGACACCCTGGGGACGAGGTTGGGGGGGGGGGGTCTGTTTAAACCCGACGATCATGGACACTATCGCACAATAGGAGGCGCTTTTCAGGACGGCAAAATTGCCGACGGTCGGGCGAAATTCCAGAAGGGGCAATCGTAACAGACCGCTGATAAAAAGGGCACTTGTTTAAAACCCCCAAAAGGCACTTGTTTAGCAAAACAAGGGGAACTTTCTACAAATATTGGGGGTGGGGATGGTGGTGGTAAATGCCGGTGAAGAAAAGTGGGCACTTCTTTTTTTTATTTTTTACCCCTGATAGTTCAAAAACGTACGTACTACATGCGATAGGCGGGAATTGAGCAGTTGAATGCTTCAAAAGATGAGCTAATCGGTACTAATGAAGACTTAAACAAATTTAATACTATGCAAATTATCTCCTTTAAACGGATGGATTATGTCCATCCGTTCAGAAATTGTCACATGGCTGCGCGATCGCGTCATCACGCGATCTGACGTTCGCGCTCGCATCGGTTGATCGCGCAAGTATCGATCAATCGCGCAGGGCGGACTTTGCGCCATCTTCGGATCGCGCGGCGTAAACAATAATTATTATTGCGTAAGAATGTCGATCGTGCTGGAAAAGGTTTGCGCGATCGCGCAGGAATCGATTGCATACTGAGTTTTCAGTTGTTTTGCGCGATTTGTTCGATAGTGCAGGAACGGTGTACGTGCTCAGTCAGTGTTATATCTAACGTGCTTTAAAGGTATTGGCCATCATTTGTAATTTGGGCATACAAGGGTGCTGAACAACCAACCTATGAAGTTTCAACTCAGCTTTAGCTGTATATTTCGAAAAAAAACAACATTCCAGTATCTCGATTTCAAATCAAAAGTTGCTGAATCACGTTTTGAATTGGGCCTGAATTCAGCGTCCGAGACACGTTCTCACTGAGGCGATTGCAGCTATATACTCGGGTGGGACTCGAACCCACGACCTCCTGCCTTCTAGTGCAGACGTCTTACCACTCGACCATCGAGTTAACGGCATCGGTTGGCTGGTTCGAATCTGATTTACATAGCAGCGGGTACAGCATTAACTATTCATAATATGGAATTTTGCGTCGGGGCGATGTAAATCAAATTAGGTTTTGCCCTTCACCGACGTATATAAACACTGTATATGCTTAGTGTGTTACCTCCCGAGTGAAAGTTGCAATAGAAGGCAGGAGGTCGTGGGTTTGAGTCCCACCCGAGTGATTTTTTCCCAACTTTTACTCGGGAGGTAACACACTGAGTATACAGTGTTTATTCGTCGGTGAAGGGCAAAACCTAATTTGATTTACATCAGCCCGACGCAAAATTCCATATTATGAATAGTTAATGCGGTCCCCGCTGCTATGTACATCAGATTCGAACCAGCCAACCGATCCCGTTAACTCGGTGGCCGATTGGTAAGACGTCTGCCCTAGAAGGCAGGAGGTCGTGGGTTTGAATCCCACCCGAGTGAGTTTTCCCAACTTTCACTAAGGAGGTAACACACTGAGTATACAGTGTTTATACGTCGGTGGAGGGCAAAACCTAATTTGATTCAACCAAGTATGTTTTTCAACAATAATTAAGCCAGTAACTTTTGGATAGCTGCATAATTGTGATGGACTCTGGCTTTAACGCCTCTGTCTGTGTGTCATGAGTCGATCTCAATGTCCAAACTCTGTCAACTAGAGGTCTCTAATATAATTGAACGTCATGTACAATTTTGTATCTTTTGTTACATCCTTCCTCCAATAAGAAGAACAAATATTTTGTTTGTTCATATTTCTCCAGGTTTTGCATTATATATCTCCATTGGGTCAAGGGACGCTGCGTCCTGGGAACTGCCCAAATAGTCTGGTCCCTGTCCCCATTATACTTCGGACTTCACATATCGGGACAGCTAGCTAGCTTGTTTCTTGCTCATTTCCTGTTTATTTGCAGTTTTCCTGCTCAATTCTTGCTCTCTTTTTTTTTTGCACATTTGCTTATTTCTTGCTCTTTTCTTGCTCATTTGCTACTTCCTTGCTAATTTCTACAATAGCAAGAAATGAGCAAAGAAGGAGCAAATGAGCAAGAAATGAGCAAGAAATTGACAAGAAATGAGTAAGAAAAGAGCAAGAAATGAACCAAAAATGAGCAAGAAAAGATCAAGAAAGAGCAAATGAGCAAGAAACTTAAAGAGCAAGAAATAAGCAAGAAAAGAGCAAATGATCGAGAAAAGAGCAAGAAATGAGCAAATGAGCAAGAAAAGAGCAAGAAAATAGCAAATGAGCAAGTAAAGGGCAAGAAATGAGCAAAAATGAGCAAGAAAAGTACAAGAAAAGAGCAAATGAGCAAGAAAAGAGCAAGAAATGAGCAAGTGAGCAAGAAATGAACAAGAAAAGAGTACAAAATGAGCGAGAAAAAAAACAAGAAATGAGCAAATGAGCAAGAAACATGCAAGAAATGAGCAAGAAAAGAGTAAATGAGCAAGAAAAGAGCAAAAAATGAAAAGAAAGAGCAAACCATGAGGAAATCATGAGCAGCAGCATATATAGTAACGATTTCAACTGTTTCTTACCAATCGGAGACTAACCGTCAAAGACTCAACATGAATGTTATTTCTGCAGTCAAACCTCATGCTTGTCTGGCACTGTGACAAGAGCTTTGGGCGGAGATATAACCTTAGGAGGCATGCAGAAAATGTACGTGCTGAAGAGGAATCCATAGTGGAGGAAGTTGATGAGGATAATTCTGAACCAGATTGTAAAAAGCGTAGATTTGAAGATTCGGAAAACTGTGAAACTAAATCTACGCAGGATGAAGACGAAGATTTCGTGGAGGATTATTCGGAATCTGCAACGGAGGTAAAAGATGGCAAATTATTGGATTAAGATGGGTCATTTTGCAGATACGGAAATAGAAAACTGTGAAACTGAATCTACGCAGACTGAAGATGAACATTTTGAGGAAGATTATTCGGAATCAGAAACGGTGGTTTAAACTGAACTGACATCACACTAACGAACACTAACTTTGATATATCGGACGTTAGGAGTCTGGGCTCCGTAGATAATGGGTGATACTCAGAGTAGAGCAAGTGACGGGAATTGAAAATTTACTAAATAACGATTTTCAACGAAAAATAATCATTTATGAATGGGAATATAAGAGTATAGCGACTCGGTCTTAACGGCCGTTTAAAATCTTGCAGGGTCGTGGCCGTGATGACTTGCAGGTCACAGGTCACGACAAATCTATCCAATCAGAGCTTAAATTCATTAGCCGATCCCAGCGTCCTGTTTGCAGGGCGGGGGTACGAGCAAACCCAATATATGGCTATAGATGACGACCGTTCTAACATTATGCTTTACAAGTCAAGAATATTGTACACATTCAGCATAATGAATTTATTCAAATCAAAGAGTGCGGCAGCATTTTTTTCTCTTTTGAAAAACTCTGGCGTTTGGGGTTTTATTCTTTCTGTCTTTTCTTGATTAACAGAAAATACAAACATTGGAAACAAACTTTTAAAAAGAATTAACGTAATTGAAGAAAATTAGACAATATGAGAAAACGGCCACTTAACTTTGACAGCAGCACTAATTGTATTAACTGGACAAATGAAGGGAGCCATCCAGTGAAAGATTTACATGTGTGTTCAACTAATGAAAATAGGCTAAAAGTAGTTGTAAACTAGTTGAAATTTCCATTTCTTAAAAGTGCAGATTAAGAGTTTGAATTTTCATTGCAATTATGTATATTCAATATCATGTTGAAAAACAGTTTGAAACCAATTAAGGAGAGAATTTGGGCATGCAATTTACATCAATAATGATAAAATTTAGTATACACACAAATACATATAGTTAAAGCACATAATTCATTGCACGCTAAGGCCAAAAAAAATACTCGGTCTCTGGTCAGACCAAAGTTCCGGAATTGATGCGGCGACGCGGCTTTTTTTTTTTTTTTTTTTTTTTTTTTCTTCTTTTGTTTTTCTTCCCAAGCTTGGATTGTACAGACAAGGTTGGGTACTATTTTGCCTTTTTTTGGTGTCCTCATGTACATTGGTGTCCTGCATAATTTGCCTTAGTGCCCTCAATCATTTGCCTTGGTGCAATTTTCCATTCCTTGGTGCTCTTTGGTAAAAAAATCGAGGAGGTGCGGCAATAGAGGGCGCTGTTGGAGCTACCGCGGAACATTTTGGAGAAAAAAAGAGATTGACGCGCATGGTTAAAATCGACGCGCGCGCTGACCAAAGACCGACTATCAGTTTTTTTTTGGCCTAACCAGTCTATCAAGGTTAAAGTCTCCACTTTTTAATGTTTTAAAGCTCCCGTGTGCCTTTAAAAAGATTAAAAGATCAATACTTGTACATTGTACATTCATCTCAGTGGTTTTGAACAACAATGGATAATTCATGTACCAAGTTGTGCCCTCCATCGATTGAGCACCGTTTCCATAAACGGCGCCACCAACGGCAGCATCGCAACACATCCCAAGATGACAAAGGCAGTGTCGTAGCTCCCATTCCGGTCAAATATCCAACCTTAAATTAAAAAAAAGCCAGGTAAATGTGCAATAAATGGGACAGTTACGGTCCTCAACTTCAATAGCAACACGGTACATGAAAATGATGTAACGTCTCGAGAAAAGTCGGAATTCATTTTTGTTTGGTACTATAGGCTAGAGCCTTTATTGTGGACACGCAACACTACAGAACTTATCTCAAAGGCTGCATGCCTGCATGACATCTGTAGCTATGATATATTTCTCTTCAAAGATTGTCAAAGGAAGAGAAAGACTGACATTTCTTCTTATTTTTGATTTAAAAGGTTTTTGATTTCTGCGGTGCAATGAAGAAGGACGTGTGGGTGAAAATCAATCGACTTTTCGATCATTTTCTTTGGATAGTATACATGTCATGTAAATCCCAATTAAAAAGAACGATGGCGATGACTAGAGCACTGCTAGTCGAAACGTTGAGACCAAAGACAAGTTCTTTTAGAACTTGAAGCAGGACTGTTCTTATCAGAACAAAAACTACTTATCAAAAGTTGATAATAAGCAGGACAAGTTCTTTTCAGAACTAAATATCTTCTAAGCAGTAGTTATTACCACATGGTGTTACCGCAAACCGAAACGATACCGATACTCCACCATGCAAAGCCTAAAATCTTATAAAGAACTTGTTTCGCGGCTTTATTTATGCAGCCGATAGACATTAGATTTGATTTCTTAGTGCTGGAATGTTCCTACCTGGGAAAAATCCGAATGCCAGTTGAAAGGTGGTCGCGACAAGATCCATCCAACTGAAAGCTGAAACCAGGTCTTCAGCTCCAAGCAATTCGCGGGTGTAAATGTCGATAAGGGATGACAAAGCCCCGTTGAAGCCATTGAAAATGAAGGCATTGGCCACCATCAGCCAGTAGGAGTTCATCCAGGGCAGTACTAGTAAAGCAACCGAATTTACGATGATCATCACTGACATGCTCAACCGCAACTTGAGCAGACCTCGGTCGACAATGACACCGACTACGACCTTGAATACAAGGTTTCCGATCCCTCCAACCGTGGTGAACGTCACGGCCTCGTAGCCGGAGAAACCTTTCGCCTCCGCGTAAGCAACGAAGTAGATCAGCCACAGACTGCTTACAAAGAAAGCGCAGCCGTACACGAGCGACACAATCCAGAACTCGACGCGGCAACAAACTGCGCATCCTAAGAGATTCCTTTGCGCCCAGATGGCACCCCTGAAGTTGCTGAGTCGGGAAACGTTCTTAGTGTCGTGGCTCGCTTCGTCAGGTGGTGACTTCTCTTCTTCGCTGGAGATGATTGGTAAATACCTGTCCGGCGCCTGTGTAGGTGCTATTGGCGGTGATCTGAGCAGGAGGCCACATACGCCAAGGTGCAGGCTCAAAGCCCCAATCAGCACTAAGGCGCCTCTCCATCCGTAGGTGTCGAGTAGCAGTTGAGTTAGCGGCGCCATGAGGATCATACCCACTGCGTGTCCTGAGGTCCCGATGCCGTTAGCGGTGGCGTAGTTGGTGGTGAAATAACGTCCCGTCGCTGCTCTTGTCAGAACATTCACTATACTTAGACCAGGACCTGTGTTTCAAAATACCAAAATAAACCTTCAAAATTGAAAGCATTGCGTCAGGCGTAAAACGCGTCGACTGCATTCCTAATTAAGTCTCCCAATGTAGTGTGATACTTAAATTACACAAAATACCAGGGGCTACGATCGTGCAATTAGGCAACCAACATGGCGCCGCAAGATCCTTGGCGTAATAATGACTCTCGTGTGCCATCTAAGCCTGCTCACGGGGCAAACTGTACGCACCGTCAATCAAAAACCTTTGCGCTTCAAAGTCGTTAATAACCGGTTATTTCTGTGGCAGTGCTTACCAGCGAGTAAAGATGTGAGCATCATCTGAATAGCACTGTTGGAGAAAGAAGAGAGAATCATAGACGTTCCAACCAGAAAACCACTGACTGTCACCACAGCACGAGTGCCAAACTTGCCCTCCAGCGGCACCGAAAGGGGAGCTGCATAAAGTGAAAACAAAACACGATTTGAAAGTTTTCAACCAACAACATGTAATACGCGTCAACAAAGAGACTGACTGGAGCGGAAATTAAAAAGAATGTAACCATCGAAACATTGCCACTGTGGGTGTCTGATATAAAGACAGGATAGCTCGGTTGGTACACGAGTTGGGTACGACGTATATTCAAGAGGTCTGAGGCTCAAATCCGACGACCAGTCATTATTATTATTATAACTAGTGCAGGGCCAGTCGAAAATGTGCGTGTTTGGAAGGGGCAGTTGAGAACTGCGGCTCGTGCAAATAACGCACATTATTCAATGGTGTGAACGCACACTCGCAAGTTAAACGCACAAAATGTCGTCACCCCCGGCACTGATATTTACCCCTACTGGACAATATGGTATCGCCCTACAACTGTAGGGCGTAGTTGTAGGGCGATACCATATTCTATTCGAGTTGCTCAGTCGACCGCCTACATACAGTACAGTGATGGTTGCTCAGTTGACTACAAAATGCATGTGCCCGTGCATGCCACTCACGTATTTTATGTACGTACGAAGACATGGTGTGCAGTGCTATCCTATCGCCCTACAATGTGCCCGTCCTTTTTCCATTGTTGCGTCATATTAAGCACGCGCGCTCTTGCCCAAACATGACGTAAACAATAAAAAAGAACATCATTGCGCGGAGTTCCAGGCTATATTCTGGCGCGCTAGGCTTCAGAAAGTACTGCTTTTTCGACAACCGCTGGTCCAAACAACTTCAAACTTGGCACTGCACATTCTGTTGTCCCGAGCAATACACCCGCCGATTTTCAACTTCATACGGTGCCCGGTTCTGGAGATAATCGGCGGACAGACAGACAGACAGACAGACAGACAGACAGACAGAGATTCCTGGAATTATAGTATAGACTAGTGCAGGGCCAGTCGAAAATGTGCGTGTTCGGAAGGGGCAGTTGAGAACTGCAAGCTCGTGCAAACAACGCACATTATTCAATGGTGTGAACGCACACTCGCAAGTTAAACGCACAAAATGTCGTCACCCCGCTGGCACTGATATTTACCCCTACTGGACAAAATTATAGTATAGAATTATAGTATAGACTAGTGCAGGGCCAGTCGAATAAGGATTATTATAATACGTGTAATGGTACCATTAAGGAGACACGTTATCGTAATTTCTTCGCACGATGGGAGACATCGGTCATTAGGGGGACATTTTCATGTCTCCCTAATGTCACAGCGCCCCTTTATAGGCAACATTGTACCGTCGCAATTAGATATATTTGTTGGTCTAATTAGTAAACATACCGAAATTCGTGCGAAAAGGACAAGGGAATTTTAGGTTCGGGCACGTATAAGTTTGAAAATTTTGTGCACAAGTCTATGGGGATGTCCCCCAAATGTCAAATCCAGGGTAATAATTATTGATTTTATTATTATTAATCATCATTTCTGATGATGAAACCAAGGATTTTTCGAAAGCGCCCTATAGGCACTGTAGCTCGCAAGCCTGAAGAAACCTGTGGAGAGAGGACAATGCGAAAAAAATTACAGTTTTACAGGTGGGAGGAAAAGCCCAAAAGAATATTCTGTCACTTTAAACCTAAACTGACGAGGAACAAATTATAAATACGTTGTCTATCTCGCTCTTTGTGTTTCTTTAACCTAGTCATGTAGAGATACCTTTTTTTTATCGCGAGAGGGGCACTGTTGATGGCCAGCTCAGTGACTATTATTTTTAGCGGCCAATTTTTCACCTCGAGAGGGGCACAATTTTTTTTATTGCGAGAGGGGTATTTATGCTTTCGAGGGGTCTAATTTTCCATCTCAAGAAGGTGCACACTCTTGATAATGCGAGAGGGGGGACTTGTGTTTGTGAGGGGCAGTTTTGCATTACAAGAGAGGAGACAGTTTTGTTTGTAGCGCGATCATGCTACAAACAAAATTGTGGTCGTAAGCACGGAATTCTGTGGATATAGCGGAGTCAAGAAATTGTGCCCTGCATACTAACCCCGGTGGCTGGCCACGCAGCACTACTCGGCCGCACCCATTTAAAAAAAAATTGTCAAGCAAAATGTGTCAAGTGCATAGCATACATCGTGTACTCAGCCGATATAAAACTAGTACTAATGGGCAACCGACCGTGACACAGATACGCAGAAGAGCCTGCAAATAATTTGCTTGTCCGTACCATACACAATACAAATTGAAAAACAAGTGGTGACGGCGATTCAACATGCAGCACATGACATTTAGTAAAGCTCTATGATACTTGACCGTCTGCGTAATTTTTTTTTTCCTTGGAGGGTTAGGGGCAAAGTCATGACTGATTCAGGTTTTCCTTTGAATCATTGCAAGACTTAGGTTCTCGTTCTATTTTGCCCTTAATTTAAAATTATCTCAGTGGTAAATTTGGAGAAGAAAAATAGCTGATGAAAATGAGCAGCGACGACGTGGATTCGAACCAGGGATCTTTGTATCCATAGGCTCATCTCGCTATCCACTAGGCTACTGTGTGGTAGCTCGACGACAACCGTTCTTTAAAATGCTTTAATGTATTGTAACTAGTTGAGTAACTAAGGGGCCATTCAGAATTTTCAATGTTTTAAAATTTCGACTTTTTTTCCAAATTATTTTGACCCACCCACCCACCCCTAATTTCGATTAATAAAAAACTGAACATGACTGTACATGTACATGCACTTGCATGTACATGTACTTGAACACCATGTACATCACGTATGTTTCAGCCCCATAGACCGTGCGTGCATTTAGTTGTCTTCTCACGCATGCGCAATGGTTTCCTCCGCGCCGTCGGCTTGCAAACTGCGGTAGCAGACGACGCACTGAACGATTGTGTGGTTTTCATGTCTTAAAATGTATCATCCTCAAACGTACTTAAAAGATGATTCAAACCAAAAATTATCAGTAGACCAAGTGAACAAGGATATAAATTGTCTCTACAGTGTGGTAACGGCGCTAAAAACCTTTTCAACTATTTAAAAAAAACGATAATTATGGACAAAAAACGTACAAAATGAAAAGGAAAAACATCGTTCGATTTTGAGTTTGGTTTACACATTTTGACAATTTGCCGGGTTTACCTTAGATCAGCCGTAGTACTATCGGAAATGATGATAGATTATTATCATTTTACAGGTGTTTTGATGTAAGAAGGAAACATGTAGCTTATAAAAATCGTCATTTTTCGAGTAAACCCATTTTGTGCACAAATACACTGGTCCCAGTACCCTCTGACCCTCTGTGATCGTACTTAACTGCATCTCAGGGCCGGGAACCAGTCAGTTGTAAATCGTTTCAGTTAAATGAATACATTTATTTGCCAACGCGTCGTAAGATTACAAACGGAGCGCCGCGGCGCGTGGCGCGTGGCTAGCCATGTTTACGGGCCAGATTCCCGTAGGGTCTGTGTACAGGTACGTGCACACTAACGTTACATTCAACGAAAAAACGTATAACGTGAGACCTTACTTTTCTCATTGAAACGGTTTCCGACTTAAATGATATTTATACATCGCACTTTCCGTGGCATCTTTTACCATTTTTCAGTGAAGACAAGTTTACAATTACTCGGCAAAACTGAAAAATTATCCCCTAAACTGTCGCCTGTTTTGAATTTGTGACCCAATATTTTCGTACTACACGACACGGAAAAACAAAAAATGCATCAAATACTCTCTCTTTTTTGCGCTAAGGTTTGCAAAAGTGACTTTGATTGCCTTAAATTCCTGTCCACGTGGAAAGAAAAATTTATCAAAGTTCTTCGACCGTTGTTGACCGATACTTCAGTGGTTCAAACTGCGACCGCAGGCATCCATGTTTGCTGATTATCAGTATTTCATATTTTGAGTGCGCATGCGCGCAAACTAAATGAGCGGCTGAAACATACGTGACATGTGTGTCTAGTTCAGTGACGGCGTGAAGTTGTTGGTCATCCTCTTTTATGTGATAAAATATGTGATACCTCACCAAAAAGTATCTTTTAACGAAATTCAATCAGAATATTTATCCATTTTGTTTGTTAAAATGTTTAATTGTTGTTTTACTTGTTGGTGTCCCTGCCACACTGTACGATGGTGTAGCCGTGCGTTACGCACGTGGATTGATTACTTTCGTTTTGACGGGGACTTTACTGAATAGAGTCTGGTGACTGTACATAGAAGTTTCTTTGAATAAAAGTCGAATCGTTCATTCGTGTGCACTTGTGCAAAGCAGGGGCAGTGGTTTAAGGATATCCAGTCGATTTGCAGAAAGTGTGCAAGAACGCGACTTGAATGCTTTTATGTGTCCACAATACAACGACGCTTTTTAGTTATTTCACTGTGTGACACAGTGAAAAATGTTGAAATCATAGGCCTAATGGCGTCAGCGATACTTGCTGGGGAGCTCTTGCGTACGACTTTCTGTACTTTGGTACTGTTTTTTCCAGGACAATTGTGTGTACGGTAACCCGACGTACCAAGATTTTTAAAGACGAAATTGCCGACCTCAAAATTGTTAGTGCCATATTTGGCAACTATATGTGCGTTATTAGTTTAATTAAACAAATGAACAGGTTAATTAAACATAGTACCATTGAAGGTACCTAAAAGTAAACATAACAGCATAGAAGACCGACAGACGAACATAAAATGTTACAAAATAAACATATTTGTCTGGATAATTTTTTTAGGGCGTTACCGGCAAGTTAACACAAACTTGGTGTCAAATAGATCATGAATACTTTTCTTTGACTTTTCATACAAGTTTACATAAACTTTAACTGTATGACCTGCAGTGGCGTAGCCGGGGGGGGGGGGGGGCGCCATCCCCCCCCCCCCATGAAACCTTGTCGCCCACCCCCAGTCGCCTCCCCCACTGAGATTTTGAGTTTCGAAAAAAATTATCATTGATCTACATGACGCCTCCCCCCCCCCCCCCATGAAATGTTCAAGCCCCCCCCCCCCCCCTGAACAATTCCTGGCTATGCCACTGACAGTACATACAGGGGACGAAGTTGGAAAAGAAACACGCATCGCGATATCGGAACGTTTGCGCGTAGTTCAGGCAAGTCAAAAGATCTATCTTTCTTTGTTTTTTTATCTTTTTTTTCCATGGAAAGTGAATTTCGATTTTCAATTATTTAGCTTGACCCACCCACCCACAATTTGGAAAAAAGATCGAAATTTTTAAACACTGAAAATTCTGAATGGCCCCTAACAACAATGCTGTTGATGTCATTGTCCGTTCTCATGGATAAACATGAATTATTCATGACATTGCCCCTAACCCTCCTAGGAATAAAAATTACGCTAACCGTCTAGAGCGCAGAAGGGAATGTTTTTATGCACCATAGAGCGAGATTAAATTTTAATTTAGCTCTATGATATGCGCATCTATGTTCAGCGTAGCGCTCGAACGATTACTTTCTTTAAAGCTACAGTCCATCATTTGCAGCTATCCAAAAAGTAACTGGCGTAATTACTGTTGAGAAGCTTACTTGGTTTAAAGATATAGCAATGTGACTAAACTCCCTGTGAAATCATTCTTCTTCTTCTTCCTTACAAGTGCAGACTTCATGGCTGAAGAAAATCGCACTGCCAGAAACACCGGGGCGAACCCCTTCTCTTAGCGATAAGTGTACTGGTTCTTTAACGTGCATTAGATATTATACAACACACGGGACCTACGGCTTTACGTCCCATCCGAAGGACGAAGCAATAATGGTTAAATGCCTTGCTTAAGGGCACAAGTGTCCGTGCCCGGGCTCGAACCCACGTCACTGTTGCCTCTGAAACACTAGAACATGAGTCCAGTGTTCTTAACCGCTAGGCCATGACTTCTCTCTGGCAAGCTGTCATTTTGAAGAAAACAATGAAAGAAGGCCTACGCATCGTTGGAAATTTCCATTAGTAGTTCGTTTTTTAATTCGGAGAATCATGTATTGTTATCTCCATTTGTTGTTCCATATTATTCTGGAAAAAGAATTGTATCATTAAATGTGACATCGTTTGTAAATATTCTTGTTGCAAGGCTGCTTTCTTACATTAAGTAAATTCCTTCATTTAAATTTTATCAAAGTTGAATTCCGGTATCCGAGTCTTACGACGTAGGATCCGGGACCCGCGTAGGGGCCCCGGAATACTTAGGATTCTGGATGCACGGTGATGAAATCTGAGGTAGTTAGGCAGCCAGAGGGGTTGACCATGCTTTGTTGGATTTAAACTGCTCTTGTGACGTCACTTTATTTAGTAAAGTGTTGATTATATTTAAGAATGTACAATGAACTGTAAATTCTTAAAAAGAATGCGCAGTCAACTAGAGATAAGTTGTGAATCTACAGGCTTTGTTGTGAATACACTGCAAAATCTGGAGTGTTAGATCTACACCATTGGTATCTGTATAGGACCATCTTGTGTTACATTTTACTGGTGTTGTCCTATATAGATACCGAATGGTGTTAAATTAACACTACAGTTTTTGGAGTGTAGCCTCTGCAAACAATTCCTTGCATAAATGGGTTTAATTGGGAAAGTAACGGTTTGTAAAATGTTCAAGTTTGGGGTATTTTCAAAATAAGGCTCCTGACTTTAATAACAACACAAATTGTCGCTTTAGATGTAAGGAATCTTTTTACAGTACATGTAAAATAGCAGTGTATCTTCCTGCTGGCCATGACCAAAAACAGAAAATACAAAGAACTTTGAGAAAAATACGGAAATATGCCTTGCATACGCTTAAGCTACAAGTATACCTCCCCGAAAAATGCTTAATTTACAGAGTAATTCCACAAAGATTTCGTCAGTTTTTCAACAGTGTACATCTTTGATGTCGCCTGTCAGCATTTCGGTTATTTCTTGAATTGTGTCTACACAATTGGATGTTCTCTTTGCATTTTTCAATTTGCCGCTCTGATATTGTAATTTGTGTCGATGACGATTATGGATTCACAGTAAAATAGTATAAAATACTCTCCCTTTTTAGTTTTATTTTAATTTTGTTTTTAATTTCCTGTATTCTTAATTCTTATTTGTTTACTTACATGTATTATTTATTATTTTCTTGTTTAAACTGACAGTTATATTTTATTGTTTGTCTTTGCTTTTTTTATTTCTAAAATTTAGAATGAAAAGGGGACGAAAAGTTTGCCTCTTTCCTCATAGCAGATATTAAATACGAACGCAGGTTAAGTTTGGAATCCGATCTGTCCAAGTTCTATTTCAACCTTGAGAGGACATGCATTATAAGTCGACTACAATTTTTGAAATTTATTTGGCATACACCTTTACAAAGCCTACCTGTGAAACTAGCCGCGCCATTGATAGTGGCAATCAACCATCCAATCATCCACGTCTCGGCTGTGAATTGCTCCTTGAGCGTCGGCAACATCACCCCTAGCCCTTTCAGGAGCCCGGCCCACAGCAACCAGTTGACGTGCAAGCAGAGGACTGCATACCAGCCCCGGTGAATGGCCCCGCAGCACTCGGTGGCACCCATGATGAACTTGCCCGATATGGTTTGCAAAGTGCATGATATAGGCGCTAGCCTATATACATCCTGTATGTGTAGCCTCAACCGATATTAAAGTTAGTGATGGGCAACTGACCGTGACAAATACGTATAAAATAGCATCATCTCATAAATTACTGAACACCTGTCGCTCAAATAACGACTGATCAGTACAGAAATTCCTTAGCAATCCAGCCATTCTCTTTATTCGGCCCAAAACAGTGACAATTGTGTACGAATTTATGCAATTTATGACAAATGATACCGAAAACAGTTGCACTTTTGTATACGTGCAAGTTGTGGTTCACACTCACCTTGCACGTACACCGTGCAAGTTGTGGTTCACGCCACCTTGCACGTACACAAAAGTGCAACTTTCTTTTCGGTACCATTTGCCATAATTGGTTGAGTGGTATAGCAAAAACCAAATTGAACAATAAGTGGTGACGAAGGTTCAATAATTTCTAGAGGTCAAAGACATGTCTATTGTTACGGCATGACCTCGTCTAATTTCTAAATGCGGTGGATATTGACAGTGTGTTGTGCATGCAAACCCGACCCGAATCACTGACATGTCTTCTTCCGTAATATTTTAATATTACAATCATACTGAGAAACACAACGTTCAAAATGCAACGTTTTTGGGTGCATGAATTTCACTGCTCTGTCATAGCGTCTAAGTACGTAATCGGATTAGCTTTGCCTAACAACGGCATGACGCTTTGTTTTAGCAACCATTATGGCTGGACGGGTCGGTTCGTCTATCATTTCAGTCGGGACGGATCGGTTCGGTTAAGCCATTTTGGAAAAAACTGAAACGGTGTGGAAATTCACACGGCGCAATATTTATTGCAGTCACTGGTCTATACGGTTCGTTAGTGTGACGTCAATTCAGTTTAAACCACGCCCACTGGCTATTACGTAGCATTGGAACCATTGGAACCAGAAGCTAACGCAACCTGAGTGTTTATCCAATGGGCGCTAGTAATCAATGGATCTGTTACACGGTACCCTGTGGAGACATGTGTGTACAATAGGGAACAAACATTGTATACGTCTCCACGGAGCAATTTCTATATGTAACCGAGCTGGAAAGGTTACGCAGAAATTTGAAAGTGACACTGGGTATATATTCCACTATAAATTGATCAAAATTTTATTACTACAAAAAAACGACAGTCATTCTTCAGCAGTCTGTAATAACAGAAAACAGAAGAATAGAAATTAATTTATTTACAAATATACAATGACTATGAATCCAATATTCAATTATCTAATTATTTGAAATAACCATCTCTCCTTATCCTTGGTTATCTTTTATCTCGAGAAATTGCTTTACTGGTTCTATAAACCTCAATTTCCATTGATTTGTTCCATAGAAATGTTTTTGCTGCGAATTTACAAGTACATTTCTTAGAGAGGCATAAAAATATTAAAGGCATAAAAATTTAATCAAGGAGAAATAATCTCCATAAGCACTTGCTATGCAATAATTTTACAACACATTAATCTCCAAATCTCCAAATCTCTAAATCTCCAATTTCCAATTTCCAATGCACATTTCAAGCAATAATGTTTTACACACGTACCCAAATATTATGGATGCTGGATATGGGATACACTGGTCTACTCGAGAAGGCTTCTCTATTTGTGACCACTCAGGAACCACAGAACCACAAGCAGTAGCTGTAATAAAATTACTGTACATATTAAGTAATCTCATAAATACTAATAAATGTTTCGATGAAGGAATATTAAATAATCATCAGTGCCATCAAAAAGTTTCATCTCCACAGTACATGTGTACACATCCGTAGTTATTCTATATTGATGAATTTACAATGCATTTTATACCGTACATCTATATCTTAACATTTGTTTGTTTAAACAGTAATGCTCATAAAAAGAGTATTCAATATTCTGTATTCGTACATCCATCTATATGTCTCATGGTTTTATTTCAGGCTAGAACATTCTCTTATTTCTCTTTCCATCCACGCTATCCAAATTTGAGTTCAATAAAGTGCATTGACCCTATTATTCAACATACAAGAAACATGTATTAAGGATCGAAGTATGTGCAAGTATACAGTCAATATTACAAGGTTCGGTATCGAAAATTCAAGTCATATTATGCACAACAATCTTCATACAGACTTGGCTTTCAACCTGGGATATTTATTTTATGGCATAAAAATGTTTCATACAGACTTGGCTTCCAACCTCGAGTATTCATGGCATAAAAATGTGTCGTAAAGTGCTATTTAAGATAACATCAAAATTTACGAAGTTGAAACACTTACCGGAGCAGTTGTGGCCTGTGTACCTATGCCTCGGGATGTTTGGGCAAACTACACGATATGCATGTACATGATATGTGTATGCACATGCGGCGTGCTAACCATGGCAAAACCACGTGAGAAACACAGCAAAATATAGACAAGCTGGCTCGCAATAAGGTGTGGCTGGCAGCAGCAACGACAAGCAGTCAAGTGACCTACCCATGCTTGCTTACTCTCCAAGAAAACTAGCGAAAAATTCACGGAATGTGCGTCCGAAGCCCTATGCTTTTGAAACACTGCACGGAATAAAAGGCTTTTTCGCACTGCATGTCATATGCAAATTGTTACGCAACTCGGTATGCTCTATTCAACGGAAAACACAAGAGGGCGCTCGCAATGCTTCGACAACTTTCGCATCGCTGTTTATGCTAAAAATATAAGACATCGACAAAGAAATATTTTACAGACGGGACCTGGCAGCATAATTACAGGAATTTAAGTCTGGCCGGTCACATATAGCTGAATACGTCTCCACAAGGTTATCACGAAATAGAAGTATGGATTTTACTCAAAAACTAGGAATTTCCAAGGTGTGCTGATTTGTCGCAAATTGAAGTATTTTATGTAAGGAATATTAAGTCCGAATTTCAGCCCAGGAAATTAATTCTGGTTAATATATAGGACCATTTTAAAAGTGCACTTTCAAACTCGAAAACTTTAGTACACGAGAACAAAGAAATGACGTTTTCGAGTTAACCAACGAACCGGATAGTGGCAAGTGTATTATGTTGAGTCAGTCTTTAATGATATGTCAAGGAATGTTGGAGTTTTTGTTACCCGCTTTTGTTACCAGTTTGTGCCATATTTTCAGCCATATAGCAGTGCCAGTGCTCGGGTGAGTATGGAAGTTTGACAACATTCCAAACTCCTTGAGAGTGGCTTATAGTTTGCACCTTTAGCTAAGCTACTTTGTACAGTCTCAAAGGAGTTTGTGACGTTTCAAAATCATGACGTCATCGTACTGGACGTTATTGTGGGGAGAATTTGTAAATAAGCAGGAAGTTAAGCGTCATTAATACCCACACTTAAATATTCATTATAATTTCCATATTTTCAAAGGTTATTTTCACTGTATGACGAACGTCTATCCTATCTAAAATAAATCAATATTGAGTTTGAACTTTTTAACTATGACGTCATCAGTGTAAAAAAAAGTACACTGAAACCCAAAAGGAGCTTTTTTTGTTCAAATTAAAACAATGGAAACGGATGAAATATTCACAACTTAACTGGCCAATACAATAGTTCTAACTCAACAAACGATGTAGCTCTAGTTATATTTCCAGTGTTATTTTGTTTGAAACAGGGAATGGCAAATATAAAAGACTAGAGGACCAAATTCATCTTTATGATCGGTAGATGGCAAGTTTGGGGCGAGTCGAGGATATTATCGGTCTAGTTTTATGAGGAAAAACTTGCAGAAGGTAAAGCATGAATAGCTTTTTTAATAAAATGAAAATACATTGCAATTGGCGTAAAGCATGACTAGTTTCAATGAAAGCCGGTCCCACTCCTATTAGGTTGGGGACATTGTGTGTGTAACCGCAGCATGAACCTCGCTATTTGTATACAGAATGCTAGCAACGTCAATAAAACTTTAAAATGAAAAAAAAATCTTCAGGGGAAAGGTATTATGAACATTTCCCCCTATTGAAAGATCGAATGAAAAAGTGGGTACAATTTCTGGCAAGCATAAACAACTTTGCCAAGTATAAACACATTTATGTAGCTTTTTTTAATAAAAACGAAAATGCACTGTCTAGTGTCCCTCTTAAATGGACACTAGGTCCTGGAACAGCCCAATTTGGGCTACAAAACGCGATTTGCACGAAATGATTTTAATCGGAAATAACATTTAAAAGTAGGATATAAACATCCACACAACTATCCTTTCAAAACTGTGCGTTTTTGTGTACTTCCTGTATTATACGTGCGAGAACGAATTTCGGGGTCCACTTTTGCGACCCCATAAATTCGAGCTGTTTGGATGCTAGTTGTGATTTCATTCGTGAAGTGTTCGACTTTTGCGGACATTGAAAGAACCACTATTTTTGCATTGGTGATTGGTAGTAGAGTCATTTTCCTGGAATCCGTGACCATGTTGCGGATACCTTTTTTTCTCAATGGATTTGACAAATACGACGAATTTGAAGAAAAAATAGCTCCTATACACCTCCCAAAAATGACGGAAAGCTTTTTATAGCACGTTTTTTTTAATGGCCGCCGACGCCATATTGAAATACATAAAAAGTGATATCTCGGGGACCAGATGAGTCATATTGATAAATGAGGTGTCGATTCCCACTATTTCTGGCATGACAAATCTGCTAAAATGGTATTCATTATGTTTCGGGACCATTGTGACCTCAAAATTCAAAATGGCGACTGGTAGCCATTTTGAAAAATACTAAAGGATTACATCTCTGGATTCAGAGGAGCAAAACAGACATTTAAGATGTTATTTTCAGACCATTTTCACCCTCATGGTTATGTACATTCTTAAAGTTGCCCGTCAGCAGGCACGTCGCATCGCCGCCCAGAATCAGATCAATGTTGATAGGGGTGATCGGAGGGCTCCGCAGAGAGTATCCGACACTGATGACTTTGAAGAAAGCAAAGATAACTGTCGCCATCACGTGGAGCCTGGCATTGGCATTCTCCATAATTGTATTTGGCATCCTTTTACCGCGTGCCATATCTCCGGTGGAACCTCGTACCTGCGTTCTCAAGTCATACAACTTGAAAGTTTATAATGGGATCATTGTGGTCATATTTGCAATCTCCCTTATAACAATTTTCATCCTCTACATGTACATTCTTAAAGTTGCCCGTCAGCAGGCACGTCGCACCGCCGCCCAGAATCAGATCAATGTTGATAGGGGTGATCGGAGGGCTCCGCAGAGAGTCAGCACAAAGTCGGCTACCACGGTGTTCATCATAACCATGACAGTCTGCTTATGCTGGACCCCGTTAATCCTCCAAAGAGCGACTTACTCAATCGTTGGAGAACTGCTGTTCTTTATGTTTTACTCAATTTCACACTTGTTCTTTATCACCAACAGTTGGCTGAATGTGGTCATTTACTATCTGAGGAACAGGGAGCTTCGGCAAGCCCTGCACGAGTTGCTAGCTTCATGCTTTCGCCAGCGATTCTGAAAGAAAAAAACCTCGTATCACTTTTTTCTTACTTAACCGCAGGATGCACCAAAGCACGAAAACTTATCTATACGGTATAACTGAACACAGTCATGGGTTGACCATTGGACGACACATCCTTGTTGATAACATTATTGCCTGAACAGCTGGAACTTTGGCTAATGGGACCAACGATGTGCTAATGTGATGATAACTTTATTTTAAAGCTATTGTCAATCATTTGCAGCCATTCGTCGGATCAGTGGGCGACGTCGCGTATAGCTGTAATTCAAAACAATTTAAAACATGATTCAGCAAATTTTGATTTGAAATTGAGATCCTAGAATGCTGTTTTTCTCGGAATATACAGCTGAAGCTGAGCTGAAACTTCATCAGGTTAGTTGTTCAGTATCCTTCATTAGATGTTGAACACTTTTGTTGCTTCAAACGAACAAAATGCACAAATTACAAATGATGGACTATAAGTCTTTTAATTTTCCTACGGTGCGTCTTATGACGCACTGTTGGAAAGGCCTTCTTTCGTTGATTACTTCAAAATGACAGCTTGCCAGAAAGAATAATTTCACAGGGAGTTAAGTCCCCTTACTATCTTTCAACCAAGTATGTTTTTCAACAATAATTACGCAAGTTACTTTTTCGGATGGCTGCAAATGATTGACTATACCTCTAAATTAGTAGTTCGTTTTGTTATTCGTCAAAGCGCGCGCAAGCATTGGCACGACGACGCACACGTCCACGCATCCTCGGTTGCTATAATTCGTCGGATCAGTGCGCGACATCGCGTATAGCTGCAATTCAAAACAATTCAAAACATGATTCAGCAACTTTTGATTTGAAATTGAGATCCTAGAATGCTGTTTTTCTCGGAAAATACAGCTGAAGCTGAGCTGAACCTTCATCAGGTTAATTTTTCAGTATCCTTCAATAGATTTTGAACACTTTTGTTGCTTCAAACGAACAAAATGCACAAATTACAAATGATGAACTATATCTTTAACACACACACACGGTCGTTTTTTGCTATGCTTCCGAGGATTGGCTTTGTGTTTTCCTTTGTTCCCTGATCTAAACTTTTCCCATAGACTAAGCACACAAACCTGCGTTCGAGGACAATAGGCACCGTCGTTCGAGGATGAATGGCCCCTTTGTGCTCCTTTTGTTGTCTGTCCTCGAGCGTAATGCAGTGCAGGAAAACACACACCCACACACCCACACCCACCCCACATACATAATATAGCGAAATGTAAGAGATGCGCTGTCGCGTGAAACAGAGAGGGCGCGTGTAATAAGAAACATAATTATTTGTACATGTAACACCATCCGAAAGTGGTGGGAATTACGTTTTTAAAAGATATTTTTGGGGTAACAAAATACTTGACTCGCGAGTCACGAGTCAGCGTCAAGTCTGAGTCATGATGGTGCAGTCCGAGTCTATAAGAGCGAGTCTCTTGCTGATGTGACTCGAGTTGAGTCCGAGTCACTGAAATTGTAACTTGAGTCCGAGTTTTGGACTCGAGTCCTACAACAATAACAGTGATTGTAACTATATGACAATAATTGTAGATCAGCTAAAATTTTATGTATTTGTCAACAATATAAGATTTGAACGAATGTAGATATTTAAGTGTAAAGCTTTTTATCAAGTTTTTCGAAAAGATTTTGTGAAATTGAATTTGCTTTCTGTAGGCCTAATCATGGCATAGCTTAAGAAAAAGTGTTAAACTGTGGAGTTGGAATGTTATTGCTTTTCGTTTGAGATTTTCTTCGATTAAATTACAATGTATCGCTAATGTTCAAGCATTTGTTTTACTCGTATACCTGATATTGATAAACGTTTAACCTTTAAACTTTTGACGAAACATTGCAGAAAGGATAGAAAACATCAGAAAGCATCCTTACAACAATATACAAAATTATGTCATACATGTTATCCCTTTTCCAACATTATAATTGTTTTAAATATGGAGATGGAAACACATGGTTCTTAACTTTGAAGTACACATCCGAAACTTAATCAGAGTAAGAGTAAACCAATGAAATGAATTCCCCTTATAATGTTTAAAAACTTTGCCAAAAAAAGTCAGGGTAAGTGGCCAGAAGTCAACTGAGATTGTACCACAGAGCATCTAGAATCAAAACTCCCGCACCCACGCCCTCGCATAAGTCCTGGACGAACAAAATAATGCTCATACGCTGTAATTTCACGGAATACGGAACACGGTGACCGTTTTAGCCGATTTTCGGCTAACTTTGACAGATTTTTTTGTTAAATAATGTGTTTGACAGAAAATTTGA